CTGACTATTGACAAGTTGATGAGACGGGGTAATATTATGGTGAATGGATGCTATTTCTATAAAAATGCTGCGGAGACTTGCAACCATTTACTTCTATGGTGCCTGGAGGTGTACAAGTTATGAACTATAATCTATAGTTTCTTAGGTGTGAAGTGGATGACGGCGGATTCGGTTAGAGATGAATTATGGGCATGGAAGGGTATCAACAGGTGGAGGAAAGATGCGGACCTTATTCCAATCACCGTTTTTGAAGTGGCTTGGAAGGAGAGAGATATAAAAACTTTTGAATGGGTAAATGACGATAATGGTTTTGGCTTAATTATGAATAGATAATTTCAAACCATTGAATTTTTGTTATTGAGTAATTCTCTGTACTCTATGGAGGATTAAAGAACCTTATTGGCTTATTGGTGAATAAGTAAATAGTGTGCATAGGAGTTTCGTACCCCTTGATGCCGATGTTAATGACAAAATGCTTTGCTTATTTCCAAAATAAAAAAACACTTAAGAGAGAGTCTTTTTAAGTCATATCTTTTTATATTAAAAAAATGCTACAAGCAAGCTGCGAATTTAACCATTTTAGTCAAGTTGTTTGAAGCCAATATGAAACAAATTTAGGGAAGGATTTAGATTTTTTTTTTTTTGTTTTTGTTTTAAGGTTCTTGTGCGTTAATTAAGTATAAATTATATGTTCGATTCTTGATTGATATGTTATCAGCAAGCTATATCAAAATTTGTTAATTTTTTTCCCATACATAATGCCTGATCAAGATAGTGATACCTCTTTCATCTCTCCCAATAACTAAAAACTACATAACATAAACATCATATTAACTACTTTAGAGGTAGGATATGGTCATGTTACAAACCAATTTGCTCAAATCCTAAAACAACAAGGAAAATGCCTAAATGGAAATATTAAACTTTTCTGACACTATCTTAGTGAGGTCACTTTTGTCATTGGCCAACTAAGCGAATAACTTGTAGGAACTATAAACAAAATCTGTAGAATAAAATCCTTTCTTTAGAAACAAACCTTTGGATAATGATTAATGAGGGATTGTCAAGGTCTTCCTCTACTTGTTCAATTGGACTAATGTACTAGAGGATAATTTTGATTGGTAAGATATGCCTGATGTAGGGCTATAAGGATTACTATAATGAAACTAATTGATACTGCTAAAAAGATCGGCATTGTGTTCCAAAAAAAATGTAGATCATTTAGTTGAGCCACTTATCAATTAGCGGATGTAATGAACAAAATGTAAAAGATAATACCTACTACCCACTATTGGAATAATTTGCTAGAATGTTTATTTGAATGTGAAGCGTTTAACAAATAGCGTGGCTGATTATTTAGCTCCATTAGAAGAGCTAATGTTGAGGTGTGAGCTTAAGGATGAACCAGCTGTTGTTTTTAGTCAGTTTTGCAATGGTTGAAAAGCAAATCAAGAGATAAATTCTTTACAGGAAACCTACAAAAGAGCGTTTAAAACAGAAAAGCATGTCAAGTTCCATGCTACTCATCAATCTCACTCTTTTACTATTGTCCAATAAATCCAAGCCTTCTTCTCACTCAATTGTCTTAGCTAAAGCTCTTCTCTCTCCAATATTTAAGGCTTTCACTGATCTTGGTGGTCTTCACAACAAGTCTTGTGGTCCCTAAATTTACTACCCCAATTTCCATGTAAAGGATCACATTGTCATTCGTTGTCCCCAATGTGCCAGCTGATAGAAAAACTCCTCCATTCAACTCTCTTATCACTTCTCTAGTCAACCGACAAGTGTTTCAAAGGAGTCCCTTGAAATGCAAGTTGCAAACATTACTAGCCTTGCCTACTGCACCTCATGAACCTATACCCATAAGTCTAGTATCTCTTTTCTTGATGATCCATTTAATGTTAGAGACATTGTGATTATTCCCATTTCCCCAAATTCTTTGCTTTCTTCCTTGATTGATCCATTTGATATCCTTCAAAACATAGTGCTAATGCATATCATACTGATAGGACTACCTACATGGATGTTGATCTTATTTTTGGAGTAAAGGATTTACCATCTTACCAAAATATTTTTGAGCCTTTACTTAGTTCTCAGCCCCAGGCTCCTAGAAAGTTATTCATGTTATCAATTATCAAAAGTCCAGTTCTTCTTAGATGAGCAAGCAATGCATAACCATCTAAGGATTCACAATAGGAATTTTGGTTCACCAGGGAAATTTACTTTCAACACTTCCTAGGAGATTCGAGTTCAATCTGATTTAGGATTTGAAAGCTTTTGTTATTGCCATTATTGCCAATTTCAGGTTGTGATTCATAACTTTTGAACGGTATTCATGTGTTAGATTATGGTGAATTAAACACTTCTCTAATATACCATTTCTAATTATTTTCAACTGTACCATTGTAATCTAGTGTTCTAGTCTCTTTTCCCTCCAACCTTGCTATTTCCTCTGCCTTCCTTTTATTTTATTTTTTTTGACTCAAAGGTTATTAAAATTGCTACTTCCTCTACTTGATCTTCCTCTACTTACTCGATCTTCCTCTAGTCTCTTCTTCAATTTGTTCTCTTGTCCTACACCATAACAACTTCGAATCATCCTCGTCTTCTTTTTTTACCCGCACTAGTTGTCCAAAAATCCATAATACCTATGAAACTTCGACATAGAGGTGTAGTGGCAGCAACCAATATCATCTTCACTAAAACTCTGAAAAAAAAATATCATCTTTACCAGAACAAACTCCCACTCGACATCCCTCCACCTTTAGCTCGCTTATCGAACAACTCAATGAAGTAATCTACTCAGTTATCAATTCGACAACACAAATTGAAATTGAAGTACTAAATGAATAAAATGATACTCCACGCACTGCAGTCGTTAACGCATGCTGGTTTCTCAAATTAACAAAACCCTCCTCGAATAAACCTTTCTTTTTATGCTATCTCGATAAAGATGAAGAATATAACAAGTTCAATCTGCAAGCGTTCCCGATATAGCAACCAAGGTCGATTTTCATTTTCGCATAACTTCTAAATAGAAACAAAACAAAGCTATAAGGTGATGAACAAATAAAACCCAATGTCCTGAAGCGTTGAAAATCTCAGTTCTTCAAAACAAAGCTATTAACGTGATGAATACAGGAAAACTCAAATATTTCTAGAGCCTCATAATCCTCATTCTCTGAACAGCAAAATAGAGGTTATAACATTATTTCAAAAAAAAAAAAAAAGTTAAAACAGCTCAGTAGGAGAAAAATGGGCGACAACGAAACAACCAAGAGGAAGAACATTAGGTCGACAAAACCAGGTGAGAAAGAAAACAACCAGGGAAGCAGAGATCTAAAGAAGAAATGAACCTGAAGGCCAGCACGAGAAGAACGAGAGATAGGCTTTTTCTTGTCTTTGTCCTTGTTGCTTCCAGAGGCTTTGCCCATAATCAAGCCTTTCGCGCCTTTTCCTGACATCTTTTTCCCGCCAAAGAAGACCCGAAACAAGCAGAGAGAATTGGAACACAGATGAGGCAGAGGACGGGGGTGAACCAACCAGAGAGAGAGAGAGAGAGAGAGAGAGAGAGAGAGAGAGAGAAAGAAATTGAGCAAGCCGATTCTCGAAAAGTTACGTGTCGGGGATTTCTTCTTTGGTAAATTAACCGCCCTTACTTTTCCAAATTTACAAATTCACCCCATTTTGAACTTTTGTTTCTCACTCAGCCCCATTTAGAAATGGAATATAAATAGTAACATATTATATTCGGACCACGTTTAATAACAATTCTTTTCAGATCAGTCCAGTATTTTTTGTTATCTTTTTTTTTTTAATAACTTTCACTAACTCCACTCTATCTCATTTCATTTTTTAATTTTATTATCATTTATTACTTAATTATCCTTTTTTATTTTTTATTTTATAATCGCCTACTATAATAATATACAATATCTAATAAATTAAAATTTTATTCATAATTATTTTAAATATATTAAATATAAACAAGTAAAATCAAACATGTTTTAAGCATATAATCTCGAACTCTCCAATATAATTTAACGATATCTTAATGTTAAATTTAATTTAATCCAATCAAATTTTAAAAATTTTATGTTAAAAAAATAGATTAAAAAATTCAACTATTTATATTCATTTGATCCTATACTTGTTTAGGGTTTATTTATAATTACAATTCTTACATATTAACCTTTTAAAAGAAAAATATTATTAATACGTACAAAATATTACGTTTTGACCATGTTAATAGTTAATACGTGAAAATTAAAATATATAAATTGAAATTATAAAAATTAAAAAATATATAAATTAAAATTATACTTGTGGCAATATTTTAATTATGCAAATGATAAAATAAAAAATATTATTTTTTTAAAAGTAAGATATTATTATTAATTAAAAAATTGAGATAAATCTGTTAAAATATGTCAAAATTTTTGTTTAATAAATAAAATTTAGTTTATTATCTGTATCTGGCTCTTAAATATGGTTTTTTATGGAAAAAAAAAAAAGAGGGAAGGTAACGGAACCCGATCCGGAAACCCAAGCCCATTATAAGTGGGCCCATTAATCATGAAATGCAGGCCCGGCCCAATTATTATATAAAGGAAAAGCGGCAGAACTAAACCGCAAAATCAGTCGCTCGCATCTCCTTCCCGAAGCCCGGAACTTGCTAGCTTGATCCCAAAGAAAACTCTCTCTCTCTTTCTTTCTCTCAAGTCTCATCATATTCTGCTCAACCTAGCGGTTAATTCCTGTATTCCTGATCGGAACTCGTACCAATGGCGGCCGTTGGCATCGAGATGAAGCAGCCGGAATTGGCAGTGCCGGAGGAGACTTGCTCCGCGAAAGGGGCCGTGAAGCAAGGAGAAGGGCTGAGGCAGTACTATCTGCAGCACATCCTGGAGCTCCAGCGACAGGTTAGACAAAAGACGCACAACCTCAATCGCCTTGAAGCGCAACGTAATGAGCTCAATTCTAGAGGTACGTTGGTTTTCTTGCATCCCAAACCCTAGTTCTCTCGACTTAGCAATTCTTTTGAGGCATTTGTTTGTTTTGTTTTTTCATTTCTAGGTATGGGATACTTTTAGGTCTTTATTATATTGGGATTTAGGTTCTTCCTTGTCTCGTTTTAAGTAGGCGCCGTTGTTGTTGTTGGACTTTTGTTGAGCGTTTAAAAAGTTTGAGATGCTTGTTTCTTAGGGTTTGTAGCAATTTATTTATATTTCTTTCGCTCGTGGAATTTAGAAATGATGTTGGTTGGTTCGATTTGAATGGAAGGTTCTTTCGGATTTAATCACAGAGGAAAATTAATCTGAAAAGCTACAATTGGAAATAGCGAATCTCTTTATTCTTTTGTGAATGGGTCAGGTAGTTTAGAGTATGCATTTATTGACATAAATATTTTCAACAGGGGTAATTGATGTGGCCATCAGGGCTCGCCAAATTGACAATATCTTAATGCTAGGCATTGATAATATGTATGAAAGAAATGTTAGAATAGGCACAGTGAAGCCTTGTGTCTTCAACAGGGGACAATCTCAGAGCATTTTGGCACTGTAGGAACCTTACAGTTTGGGTTGCTATTTCTGGTTGTTGCACTTTGAGGTGGGAGTTAACAACTAATGGATGTCATGTAGGGAACACAAAGGTTTACATTATAGTTGAAGGGGACCATGTGGATGAGGGTTGGAAATGGTTGTCCCCTTCATGACTCTGTTATGGTCCTGACTAATTGATCTAGTTATGGGACAATTAACGCATAAATCAGTACGAAGAAAAAAGCTTCTTTAGTTTTCTGCCTTCACCTATTTTTAGATAAAAATTAAGGGTTCATTAGGAAGAGAGAACCTTATAATATCTCGAGTAAGAAAGTACTATGCTTTAAGATTCTTCTTCATACATAATCTGTCTCGGGGACAGCAAATCTGGTTTTATACAATGAGAGGATAGTTATCTGGAAGTTATTTCCAGATTTAGTAACTACCTCTTCTAATCTTTTTAATTTCTTACTATTAACTCTTATACTTTACATAATATCCTGCGTAATATTCTTACAGAATAAAATACAGAAAAATAAAATACTTTACCTATTTTTAGAATGAAATTAAGGGTTCATTAGGAAGAGAGAAACCTAAAATCTCCAGAGTAAGAAAGTACTCTGCTTTTAAATTCTTCTTCATATATAATCTGTCTTAAGGACAGCAGATCTGGTTTTAATACAATGAGAGGGTAATTATCTGGAAGTTATTTCCAGAATTTAGTAATTACCTTGTCTAGTCCTTTTAATTTCCCACTTTTAACCACCCATACTTCACCTAATATTCCTGATTAATGTTACTACAAAATAAAATACAGAAAAATAAAACAGAATATCCTCACAGTTTTTCAGAAAATATTCTCCTTATTACTTACATCTTAATTGCACCCTAACAGACTCTAATATAAATTTCTGTTGTTATGGCACTTTCTTTGTGGAGTAGCTTAGATTGAATTGATCAAAATTAATACAGCCACTGATACTAGCATGGTTGAAGAAAGAGAATTCAGTATAACAATGATGCATATTTGATGACAAAGCGGGTAATAGTAATGTTAATTATCTCCATCTTTGAACAATTAACGAGTTTAATAAGAGGAAGAAGGAAGAGGGACATGTATATTTTTTCTTGGATTTTCAGAATAATGAATTCTCTAACAATCACTTCAGAAATTAATTATTACTAGTTTAACCATGTATTTTACTCTATTCTTATGTTAACATTAATTTTCCACCTAAAAAAGTTGCTAGTTAAAAGATTTTTATTCACTGCTTTCTGGCTTATGCCTGGTCTCAAGAAGAGAAAATTCCATAAGAAATACCGATTAGTGATGTGCGTATTATTTGAAAAGTGTAAGGATCATGTAGTTGGGAATTTTATCAAATGTCAGGATAGCATCCTCTTCCCCCATTGTTACCCTCTTTTTCTTTTTTCTCCAGGAAGTTAAATTTTGTCTGTTGATTTGGTCAATAATTATGTTTTTTTATGCAATTCGGGCAGTGAGAATGCTTAGAGAAGAACTGCAACTGCTTCAGGAACCTGGTTCATATGTTGGTGAAGTTGTCAAAGTCATGGGAAAAAACAAGGTTCTGGTTAAGGTACATGGACAAATTCTAGTTGGTTCAGCTTTTGCTTCTATTGTGCTGCAGATAAAATCTGAGTACTTTAGTATAGGAGGTGACTGTAAGAATTCCTATTAAAAAAAGAGGTGACTATATGGCTTATCTGATGCAGTACTTGATATGGATGCTTTGTATTCTGTTTAAAATAAGTAATTTTAGCTCACAAGGCAATGAAAGTTATAACCTGTAATTTATCTCAAAAAAAGAAAGTTATCCTGTAATATTCTGCATGAAACATGTTAAACCTGGAGTGGTACTTTCAAAGATGTCATTGATGTTCTTTTTGTTGCAGGTTCATCCAGAAGGAAAATATGTAGTTGATATTGATAAAAATATTGATATCACAAAGATCACTCCATCGACGAGAGTTGCACTCCGTAATGACAGTTATGTACTCCATCTGATCTTGCCAAGCAAAGTAGATCCCCTGGTTAACCTTATGAAGGTTGAAAAAGTTCCAGATTCCACGTATGACATGATTGGTGGTCTTGATCAGCAAATCAAGGAAATAAAGGAGGTATTTCTTGAACACAGCTTACTTTATGTGCTTATGTTTGGTTTCTGAAAGGAGCTCTTTTAATCAGTTATGGGTTTTTAGTTTCTTGGTGGAACTTTTAATTCATTTTGGTTTTAAGTTTCTTAATGAAGCTTCTTTGTTTGTCATGGTTCTTAATTTCTAAATGAGTTTATTGATTTTGATTCCTTTATTTACATATTCTTTGCATTGTTAATTTGTTCAATAACTTGTGTATGATTTTTTAATTTTAGGTTATTGAGCTTCCGATAAAGCATCCTGAACTATTTGAGTCTCTCGGTATAGCTCAGCCAAAGGTACAGTTGTCTTTTCCAATCTATACCTCAAATAATTCAAGTATTAAGGAGGATTGATCTCTTTATTGGTAAAGTAAATCTCTTTATTCCTGTTAATGACAGGGTGTCTTGCTATATGGCCCGCCTGGTACAGGAAAGACACTGTTGGCTAGGGCTGTGGCCCATCATACTGATTGTACTTTTATCACGGTTTCTGGTTCTGAGTTAGTTCAGAAATATATTGGTGAAGGCTCTAGAATGGTTAGAGAATTGTTTGTTATGGCAAGGTTTGTCTTCAGTTCCCCCCTTTACTGGCATCACTACCAATCAGCTGCACCTAATGTTTCTTTGCTTCATTTTAAAACTAGGTTTAGGATTTCATTATTTTTGGCTTTGTGATTTACATTATCTGTATTAGAGTTTTCTCGTTGTGCCGTTCTCCCATTCCAGCCTTAAGAAAAGAGTAGTTCTCTACCAAAAAAAATGTGGTAGTAGAAACCAAAGTAATGTGAAGGAGTAGAGGATGATGGTTTCTTATATTTTGTTATAATTAGTCATGAATGTGCGACTTTGGATGAAGCTTCATCCATCAACTGAACCAATTGGCAAAATTTTTATTTCATGACCAAATATTTCCGCTTAAAATACCCTTACAACTTTGGTTTGGCAAGGAGTCTAGTTGTTAACTAAGTAGCCCAACTTTTCTTTTTCCTGCATGGAATTGTTTCTAGAATATTCCTAGCTAGTATATTTCTCTTTGAATTTCAATTCATATAATTCTTGCTTTCAGGGAGCACGCACCATCTATAATTTTCATGGATGAAATTGATAGCATTGGATCTGCTAGAATGGAGTCTGGAAGTGGTAATGGTGACAGTGAAGTGCAAAGAACTATGTTAGAGCTTCTGAATCAACTTGATGGATTTGAAGCATCAAATAAGATCAAGGTACTGTATACTGCTCTACATTGGAAGTATAGTAAATTGGGAAAGAACGACTTTGTTTTTGCTATGGTTCTTTACATCATCATATTTCATTTTTAACATGCACTTGCAGGTTTTGATGGCCACAAATCGAATTGATATTTTGGATCAAGCTCTTCTCAGGCCAGGACGAATCGACAGGAAGATTGAATTTCCAAATCCCAATGAAGAGGTAATGCAGATTATCTTTATAGTGTATTTCTACTCAAAAAGAATTGGAAAGGCTCCAAATATCAATTTGCTGCTTTCCTATGTTTAAACAGAATATCTGTTTTATTATATAAAATTAAATCTTTGATTGTGCTTAATTGCATTCCTTATTATGTACCATTGTTGCCTTTGTGATTATTTGTTACCAAAAAAATAATTGTCTTGATTGTGGACTTTGTGGTGTTTGGACTGATTTTTTTTTTCTTTTCCGGGGAGAGGGGGGGGAGAAGTGGGCAATAGAAAGGAAGCCTTAGTGTTTGGATTAATATAAAAGCTAAAATCTCCTAAGCTTTTAGTCCCAATTAAGGACCTCCTGGGACCAGCTTTTTTCGGGAGAGCTTTAAACCAAGTGTTTTTAGCCCATATGACCATTATTTTCGGCCATTAATATTATTATTATTTATTCTAAAAAAACTTATCACTATTCTCACTTAATACTTCAATTATTTTCTGACTAATAAACAGTAATAATGTTATACAAAAATCAATAAAATATCTTAGTAGTAAAATTTAACAATGAAAAAAATTAAATTTTATGTTGGTAACCTTTATTTGAGATTATTTTTGAAGTATTTTTGGTATAAGATATACTTAGCTAATTTTTAATAAAAAGAGTAAGTAATGGTTCTTCTTGGCCATTAATGCTCCTAATCTACCTCCAAATACTGGACAGTTTTTTAGAGTTTAAAAGTCAATGAAAAAAGTCAGTTTCTAAACACTGGTTACGCTTAGACCCCATGAGCTAATTAAAGCTCACTGGGATTAGGAGTTATATAAATTCGGAAAAAGAAACTCTCTTAAATACAGTCTCTTCTGCATCAATTAACAAGAGTAATGACCGATCAATCTGGAGTCTCAATACTGGAAGGTTTTTCTCGTTCAAGTCTTTTATAATTATTTAATTTTCCATCTAGAGTTGTTTTCCTTGCGTGGGAAGCAGGTTGTAAGTGTATCCTTACTATTAATAAGCTGATGAGAAGGGGAAAGATTTGGTGAATGGTTGTTATTTATGCAAGAGGAAGAAAGAGTCTTGTAATCACATCTTTCTTTGGTGCCTGCTTGCATATAAGCAATGGCTTATGGGTGACCGGGAATCAGTTAAACGATGGCTTGTTTGATAAGGGAAGAGATTTGGGCTTGGAGGGGTATTAGTGGAGGGAAGAGACGTGTGAGTCTCATTCCTCTTGGTATCTTTTGGGTGTTGTGGAAAGAGAGGAACAAGAAAGCTTTTGAGGGGATGAAAGACGAATTTTGATAGAATTAGAGATAGATGGTTCCAAATCCCGGGTTTTTTGGTTATGGTTCTTACTCTTTATACAATCAAGTATTTAGGGGACCTCATTGACATTTTGAGTGACATGTAAATATTTTTTTATACGTAGGTTAGCACCCTCCTAGTGTTTGTTGATCAGTGAATTATACCGCACTTTTTATTCTAAAAAGTAATAATAAATTCTGAAAAAGAGGGTAGGGAGGAGCCAATCCTAATGACCTCTATGTTCCCTTACATAGAGAGGCTCACTTTTCCTTCACAGATTCGCATGACAGTGGGTGAACTTTTTAAAAAATCTATTGGTAGTTGAAGGAACAAATATTTATATATATGTGCACACAGACACATATATTTGCAGTGTGCGACTTAGCCATCAGAGTTGTCGATGGAGATAATATGTTGGCTTTTCCACAGGACTTCATTTGTATGCTTTTAGGCCTTCTCTAGAAAGAGGTGGATGAGTTGTTAACTAGGAGGTAATTATCTAGAATTAGATCTTCTGTGTTGACCTGCCTAAAAGAGAAACTCTAACATCTATACAATGTATGCATGTATATTGATGTGCACTTTGTCGTCCTGTCTATTTGGAAGTGTTCCTTAAAAAATTAATGGGTTCATATAATGTTTGTTCGATTTATTTTGAAATGTATTATGTTTGTTCAATTGATGCAGTCTCGTTTCGATATCTTAAAAATACACTCAAGAAGAATGAATTTAATGCGAGGAATTGATTTGAAGAAGATAGCAGAAAAGATGAATGGTGCCTCAGGTGCAGAGCTCAAGGTATGTGTTTTATCATCAGTGGGCATCTTCCTGGCTATTATTTTTTATATTAAAGACTCTGCTCCTCTAACTCTATTGGCCTTAAAGTATCCGTCAAATTTTTTTATCTGTGCATCATGTCTGCTTGTTCCATGCGGATTGAACATTGGTAATGCAGGAGGGTTTTGTTTATTTACGGATTTGAGGATAAAAACATAGATATCATATTTAGAGTTTGTAAGACATCACATCTAAAAGCCTTAAGTATCATTGAAATTATTGAATAGTTAAATTCTGTCTTGAGAAGTGAAATTATAGGGATATTTATAATGCTTGATGAGTAACCTTTACGAAATAAAATTAAATTAACTAATACTAAAGCTAACAAAATTAGATATTACTCCTAATAAGATAGGAAACTAATACAAATAAGATTAGGAATGTTACTTTTAATAACATATGAAATACAACTGACACCTAAGAATAAAATCTGAAAAGTTACTAAAAGCATAATAATAGATTATAATATTTGATATAGTGGTTCTATGTTTAATAGGATCATGATTTCTAAACTATTTAGGAAATCTATAGTTACTCCATTTTGCATCAATTGGAACTGGTAGGAATCTTATGGGACTTCATTTGGCAATTTGTATCGAATTGTGGGGAAACTTTTAGGACTGAACAAAACAAAAGGCGTGTAGATGTGTGGTGGCAAAGTACTGAACATCAAAGAAGTGTCAACTAATGGAACGATTTATTTCCTAAATTTTGGAACAGATTTTTTTCTTTCGGAGACAAACTACATTTTCTTCAAATTCCTCTTCTCTCTCTTCTTCCATCTAATCATATTGTTTTTAAATTTTGCACCTTTAAAAGTTCTGTTTTTGATTGAGTGGCACATGCATGATCCTTATGAAATTAAGATTCTCTCTTTAAATATTGATAGGTTCAGTACCATTGATGATATCAATTTTTAACTAGATTTTCGTATGGTATTTTTTGTTATTTTTTATTTTTAATAGTTTTGATTTTTTCCATTTCTTATTTGAAAAAGAAAAAGATTAGTTTTACAAATCAGATGTAAATAATTGAAAATTACAAAGTAGAACATTAAACATTACTGTAATAGGTGGTTTTATCCAAGTTTATATTCACCAAGTGCATCATTTTTTTGGTTCACTCCTGTTTAGTTCTGTTCTATTCTATCATGTTTTGTTCTCTTCTTGCACCAAAACATTACCTTTTGTGGAATTCATTTGTCCAAATGTAGTGTAATAATTACAAATTCCAGGAGCTGAGAAATATAGGTGGTTTGCCTAATAAAATTGTGTAAGTTTTAGTTTCCACCAAAATGTCCTTTCTCACGGAGTATGAGGATTAAATTTTCTTGAGTCACATTTCTTATAAACCACAAGTCTATTGCCAAATAGATGAGGAAGGCAAAAACTCAATTGGGTGTATCACAGTATTTTTTAATTTTTATTTTATATATTCATAAAAACAATGTGTCTGTTTGTGTGGTACTCTAAGTCCAAATGGAAATATCTTTAGAAAATATTAAAAACAATGACTTTATTGGCTCTTAAGTTTTCTAGATATTGTTTTTGCTTTCAACCACCACAATTTGTCTTTATGTGTAAACATGTATGAATTGGGGAAATAAGAATAGAAATCTAGAAATATTAGATAACAAAGATAAAAAAACAAAGCTAATATTTATCGTGTTTTCAGATGACTCAGAACTCTGTACATTTGAACAGTAATCTTGTTGAGCTTCTAGAAACAATTCTTGAGAATACATTGGCCTAAAAACAAAAATATTGGGAATCAGTAATTCATAAAAAAAAACCTAGATCTAGTTAACTACTTGTTTTTCTTATATCCATCCTAGTTGTGGTTCATCATTTCTTGCAGTATTAGGAATACATCTGGATGTACAAACACTTTTTTTTTTTTTTTTTTTTTGCTGTGATTGCAGGCGGTATGCACGGAAGCAGGGATGTTTGCTCTAAGGGAGCGGAGGGTACATGTAACTCAGGAAGATTTTGAGATGGCAGTCGCAAAGGTGATGAAGAAGGAGACAGAGAAGAACATGTCACTAAGGAAGCTTTGGAAGTAAATCTGGGGTAATGTATGTTTTCTCCCCCTTGTTTTGGGATCAAACAGAATGGACATGCAAACCTGTGTATTTTTATGAAGCTGGATAATTTGGATACCAAAGAAACTGTCTTCTCTTTTTATTAGACCAACAGGCCCTTTTGGTCTGTTTTTGACAAGAGGTTGCAAGTTGCCCATCTTTGAAATCTGTGATTCAAAGAATCTATTATATGTATTTTCATGAAAATTCGGCATTGTTTTCTTCATTTTTAGTTACAATCATGTTGCTACTAAAGGTGGTTTACTTTACACCGTAGATTTTATCCTGATCATTCCATTTTTTTTTCTTTTTTTTTTCATTTGTGTTTTCTTTGGTGAGTCAGTCACGGGTGCCGAAGTTCACTAAACTCAATTAGGTTAGCTATTTACTGAGTCGTCTATCACATGCCAAATCAAACCATCATTCACACGGCTAGGTTGCTTTTGTTGACTATCGTTTTGGTTATGGTATTCACACCCGCAGTGCAGTGCAGGCTGCCAACTCATGAAAATGACACTCACACCGAATTTCATCTCTTGATTGTTAGATGGAGACTGGTCTAACTAAAAAAAGTTAGCTGCATGGTGGATGCAATTATTTGTCAGCAGACTTAATTTAAAGGGTGTCCCAAATGGTATGCTGCTGCTATTTAGGAAGTCATTGAAAATATAATTATATATATTTTTTAATTATTGGTATGCAAAGTTGCAGTCATGTGAATGGGAATTTTCAAAGTATTTAGCAGTTTTCTCTTGGTTTTTTAATCTTTGATCATGATGGACAACTACTCTTGTGGATAAATATGAATTCATTTGGCATCTTCTTGTTTTTTTTTTTTTTTTTTTAAAGAAAATCCTAATCAGATTGGATAAAGGACGAAAATTTGTATTTACTTATAGATAATTAAATAATTTTATTTTTAAAATCAAATAATTAAATCTAAACAACCATTCAACAGTAATTTAAATTATTAATTCGTAATTTTTATTATTTCAACATTTATTATTGTTTTGTGAAAAAGGGTTCAGAGCAGTCACTTCTGAATTTGTTCAACATACATTATTAGGAAGAGAGCTGTCACGATTTGGCAGTTCACAGAGGTTCTAATATTTGTCATCGCCATTAAATACTGAAATGGGAAACTAAAAAACATTTTAAAATACAAAGTCACCCTATTAATTCCCAACCTTGATTTTTTCAATTCTCCAAATTCAATCTCGAACATAAAAGAATTCCTACTGTACGTCTTGGATGGCGGTCGATATATATATATATATATAATAAATTTTTCGATGAATAACTTAATTTTAATGTGTAATTAAAATGATTAAAGTAAGATAAATTATATAAGATTATTGACATTTTATACATATACATAAAGTAAATGCTTTAAACATAAAATTTTATTTTGTGTATATAAAACAAAAAAGTGCTCGTAAGAACATTAAGAACAAACATTTTATTTTGTACGGTAAATATTAAAAAAAGAAAAACAAAAAAGTAGATAAAACAGATTTAGACATGTTTTAAATGGAAACAACTAAACGGGAGACCCATTCGTGCTCCCCCATATCCTACTTGCAATCTCCTCTATTTCTTAAATATTTTACTTGATGATTATACTCTTTAACATACGTATGTATATATATATATATATATATATATCTCTCTCTCTCTCTCTCTCTCTCTCTCTCTCTGAAAGAGTCTTAATATCAATATAAGCAGTTATATACTTCAAGATTGATTATATTGCCAAAAGAACTGCTTCTAATATTTAAACGTGCTTTGAATACTCTTCTTTTTTTTTTTTTTAATAATTTTGAAAACTTTTTCACCATATTATAAAAAAATTGTAGAAAATAATTTTATATTTGCACTATGTTTAAAATAAATTGTTTAATAATCTCACCATATATATGTTGATATGACTTAAATTCTGATAGTTTTAATCATGAGGATATTTTTGTAATTATCATAGAAATTAATATTATGGTATTTTGAAGACATAAAAAAACTCTAGAAGTCTCTCTCTATATATAGGTTTGTTAACCTATTAGTGTTGTATTATCTTTCGATCATAGTGAAATATTTTTCTCGCTGGTCTTATTTGTAAATTTAGACACACTGCCGAACCACGTAAAATCCTGTGTTATTTTTTTAAAGCTTTTATTTTGTATTGATTGTGCATGTTTTAGGGATTATTTTTCCCAACAAAAGGTATCAGAGCTCCGGTTTCAGCTAGGTTAGGGAGAGAAAGCTGATTTGTTGCGAAAGTAACAAAAATAAATTGAGAAATTAAAAAAAAATGAGAAAATAGATTGGCAACCTCACCTTTTATTTTGTTTTCTTCCCCACAGACCAGCGGCAGCGGTGGCGGGAGCTCAGTTCGACGACGACGTGCAGCTGTAACAGCCCCAGAAATTTAAAATGAAATGTGTATTAAAAACATCAGATGCAGAAACGAAGTTAAAAATTCGATTAACATCCCCTACACTAAAACCAAAAACGTGCTCACAAAATATAAAAGATCAAACTACCTAAAGGAGAAACTCGAAAGTAAAAGCTACGAATGTGACTACGGAGTCTTTAGGCGTCCCCTTCGTCGTTGTCCTGCGGAACGGGCTCGGGAACAATGTCTTCCTGATCTGA